CTAAAGCTTTTTTTTTTTTGATAATAAAACAACGCATACAACTGCCACAATAAAATTATAACACTTAAACTTAGTCAGCTAGGTAAAAAACGAAATACTTATGAAAAACTTCTTAAAAAATTCTTAAAGCCCTGAGTGTCTGCTGTCATATAAGCCATTAAACACTACTGTGGAGTGTGACATTACAAATAAATTCAATGCTGAACGCAGGCACTCCAAAACAGAAATTCAATTTTTTGGTCTCTGGTAAAAAGAGTTAATATGAATAACGATATTAATAAAGAGATATTAGTAATGAGGCTATTTATAGCCACCAGCAAGCTTCATTTCTTTAAACTCACGATTTCCATTCTGAAATCAAGGCTACCTCCCTACGTTTTTATCTAGACAACCTCCAGATCTATGTTCCCTGGTGCCACAAAATTTTATGTTCCAACAGTCATCCATGACAGATAACACACCTGACAACAGTAGACAGCTTAACGTAGGTGAGGTAGGTGTTCTTCACATTCTCTTTTGTCTGTGGAATGACAACTTAACGACTCTTTCACGGCACACACTCCCATCTGCCAAAGGTTTACTCAGAAAGCACTTTTGTTTACCAGGATTGATTGGCATTGTGGAATTGAAATGATAATCTAGGTGGTGTAGCCCCTGGAGCACTAGGCTGCATACATTTGTTAGCATGAAGCAATGGAGGTCAAACAGAACCATTGGGGCTTGGGAAATCCAAGAAGCCATTAGTGTTATTAAATTGGCAGACCCTTTCATTTCCTCTGCAGCCACTGAGTCAAATGACATAAAATTACCAAACAAGAATTAATAGTGACATGCATATGACTCAACTTGCTTTCTTCTGAGCTACACAGATTTTGCTAAATTTAGCTTTCTACGATTTCCAACTCTATTGTAATAAATGCATTTCACAAAGAAGGGTTTGATTCTCAGTTCCAGAGATGCATTGCAGTTCTGCAAGAACAGTTCAGACAACAGGCCTCAATTAACAATCTTTTAGTAACATGTACATGTATATGTAAATGTTTTCATAAGCTGAACAGAGCTAAAGATTTACAAAAGCATGGACTCATGTTCGTATGTTGATAAATTCCAATCAAGTGTAAGTTACCAAGCGCGTTCACAGTACAGCTGATTTCCATTTAGTGAACCCCAAAATGCCACAAAAGGCAAAAAGCTCAGAGAGAGCTGCAAGCAACAAATGATACCTTAACAGTGAAAGGGCATTGCTGAAACAAGGCATGCACTAAATCATCCAATAATGCAGCTCAGCCATTGCAGAGCATCATATGTCATAGACACTCACTAATTCTTCTTCCTGTTATACAGTGGCATTTCTTTTTTTCCTAACTCAATAGCTAGCCTTATTTGTCTTAAGTTATGGATTTGTTTTGGATTGCCTTCTCTTTCAAGCTGTCAACATGAAAAGACTGGGTTTCGCAAAATATTCATTACACTCACGTGTGATATGTGATTTAAACTTTACAGCATAATCCATATATAAAATTATAGAAATTAATTGCCAATTTTATCATTTGAAGCCTGTGAATTGAGGTTTACATTCAAGGTGGGTTTCCTTACACAGAAATGTACACAAACTCAAGAGTTCTCGTAGGACTACGGAAGTTTTTCCAAACTAACATTCTGCAAGCCAATGTTCAGATCCAATCTAAACATGTTCCAGTGCTTCTGCTCGAAAAAAAAAAAAAAAAAACATGCCCAGAGCAAGGTCATATTTGTATGACTAGTCTCGGAATTTGATAAACATAAAGAGAAGATCTACATGAATTATTTCTGCACAGTTGTTTTATTGCTGTACTAAAATTGGCCTGGAATTACATTACAAATCTAAAATTTATAGTTATTATAAGTTGTTATGACACCTTTTCCGAGGTTTTTCCAAGTTCTGAGTACAATGGATTGCAGCATAAATGCTCATGTGAATTTTTTTTTTTTTTTTTTTTGGTATCCAATTTGCTAAATACTGATTCAGTATTTGAATCAGGTCTACCCTCAAACAAGCATCAGCCCACATGTTGAATACAGATTCGAGAGCTACTCTGGTGTTCTGCTCCTACAATGCATCATTCAGTCAGTCAGTCATGCTCACTGTGACCCGATCAGCCTGCTTGATGCATCTTTGCCTCTCCACCTGAGCCAATCTGAAAGGGAGCGCTGCTGCGGCACTGGAGCGGCAAGCCCTCATTTTCATTGGTAATCTGAGGGCACAAGTTTGAGTCACAGCTGAGCTCAAGCACCTGCCCCATTTCTAAAGCGATTACATACAGGGCGAATAGAGTTTCTGGTAATTCTCATGCAGCTTCTTTAAAAAATTCAAACAGAAAGGAAAAATCCACCTTGGGCAAGTTGCACATCTGTATAGGTAACACGAAATTTTCAGTGGTGTTATTTTAAAATTTGTTTTATAATGAAAGTTGTCTTTTTTAGTTCAAACAGCTTTCCTTGACATGTTGGTCTCTTTTTTACTTTGGTTAGCGGTTTCCTACGTGACCTACAATGCCATTCGATTATCTATTGAGTAGCGCCAGTGGGATTAGTCCCTTGCTTCATCTCTACCTAAGAGAGTAGCGCTGGTGTTTTTGTCCTTTAGTCTGTCCAGCTCTCTGATTTCTTCGTCTATACACTCTGCTCAAACAGATCATCTTCCCAAGTGTCAAATTCTCACAGTAATAACAAAAATACATCACCAACCAACAGTTTAGCAGCAAAATCGCTAAACATATCACAAATATTTCAATATACTGTAAATATATGGAATGTGTCTCAGGGTGGAGTTTTCCTTTAAGTACTTAGGTGGTGATATTGTTCTCATCCGGCATCACAGTCACCATCTCAGACCATATGGACTCATATACACTTTGGCAGTGAAGCTAAAGACTTGGAACAATTGAGCCTAAAGCTGATTAATGCTGGTGACCAGGTCATGATGAACCCATTATAAAAGGGGGCGAAATGAGATAATGAGGATAAAGAGTGCTCCTGCTTTCAACTCTGTTAGGGTTTTCCTGAAAGCACTTGTCTTTTGGGGAAAACACTTAGCTCATTAGGTGCAGATTAGTTGTGGTCACAGCTGTGAATGTCGCAAGTGTGTAGTAGGTAATGATTGTAAATGCATCAGCATTCTGTAATTCTGTTTTATGAGCAAATAAAATTCCTGTTTAATAACAAAAATGACTCAGGCAGCTGTGGACGCTTGTTTGTCATCTTCAAATATGTCAGTACAAGGATTTTACTGTTGTTTGGTCCACTGGCGTCTTGCACATTCATGCTGTGAGTCTCTCATTCTACCTCATGCCGAAGGTGCTCTATTGGATCACCTTGAAGTACACATGGAACCAATCTTATGCTTCGTGATATGGCACATTATCATGATGGATAAAACTATTCTAAGATGGGTAAACGTGGCCATAAAAGGATGAGCAACAAAATTCAAAAAAGCTGTGGCATTCAAATGATGCTCAACTGGTATCAGGGAGCCCAATGTGCACCAAGAAAACATTCCACACACCATTACACCAGCATGAACTGTTGACACAAGGAAGGTTGGCTTGATGGATTCATACTACTGATGCCAAATTCTGACCCATCTGCACGTTGAAGCAGAAATCAAGATTCATCTGAACAAGTGACATTTTTCCAATCTTCAGTTGTCCAGTTTCGGTGAACCTGTACCCACTGTAGCCTCAGACTCCTGTTCTCGGCTGATATTAGTGGAACCCCATGTGATGTTCTGCTGTTGTAGTGCAACCGCCTCAATGTGTTTATGCATTCTGAGATGCCTTTCTTCTTACCACAGTTGTAAAGAGTGGTCAATTGAGTTACCGTAGTCTTACGTCACCAAATAGTCATAGATTTCTTCAGGAGTTCATTGCATTATTATATAATACTGTTTCAATGACTAAAATTCTTAAATTGCTACCACTTGTGCTAGTTTAATTATTATAAAGCCAGCTTAGGTCTTTTTTTTACATCAAAGGCAGATAGTGTCAGAAAGATAGAAGTTGCCTTTGGAGTGTAATATCATTTAATGTGAAAAGTGGGCAAAGTATTGAAAAACAGCTATTTTTGCCCCTGTTCAAGCTATTCAGTATGCATTAGAGAGCATGTGTAATGGCTTCAAGGAGTATAACCGTCCTCCTGCCCCTATTCAACCCACTTGTCACTTTCAAAGCGAGGGATAAGACATATATTGAAAACGGGCAACTAAAGGGCACCACGTTTTTAATACACTCGAAAATATATGAACTCCACAATCCGCTTATTATAAGAGGCATGCTATTCGTGTAGCCTGCAGAATGAACAGCATGGCAAAGTACAGAGGGCTCTCATCATTCATAGAGTGTGTATGTGAGTACATAGTGCAAGTTCTAAACTAAAAAACTATTACTGAAAAACGGCCAACGCATTTTTCCTTTTCTGCCCCATTGTGTAAAACAAATAATTTTTGATTTATGTCATAATTTCTCAACCTTGGGGTCATGACTACACATGGGATCTCCTGAGATGTGGATGGGAGTGCTGGAGTTTTAAACCAACCTTTATTTATGATGTAGTTTTGTGCACAGAAATTTGATTTACATAATATATTAAAATAATAATTGAAACATTAAAGATTAGCAATAAAAAAAAAGATTATTATTATTATTAAACTTTCATTAGACTTCAGTCAATTTGGAGCCCCTCTTAAGCCCATTTTGCACCGGGCCTCCAAAGCGCCGAAACAAAGTGGCCTTTACACTGACGTGTGAACAGCACAGTCGTCATTTACAAAATATAATGATCTAGTGATTCAAACAGCACATGTGATATTTCGGTCTGTAGCCTTCTCTAGCAGCCTTTGCTCTGCCTTTGGTTAAAACTTTGCGAATGTTCTAACTGTTACAGATCATAGAGGTAAAATCACGTTAGATACAGCTGTACTTCATTTTTTTTATAATATTAACAGATAGTTGAATGTTGTGGGGTCCCTGGAGGACTAGTGGTTAGGCCATGGCACTGTTACTGCTGCGGCCCGGGTTAGATTCCCAGCCAGGGAATCAACCCCACCCACTGGGGTTGTACACGACAGTGCACTTCCAATGCCGGTCCCAAGCCCGGATAAAATTGGGGAGGGATGCGTCAGGAAGGGCATCTGGAGTAAGGACTGTGCAAAATCAGATATGTAGACCAATGATCTGCTGTGGCATCCCCTAACAGGAGCAGCCAAAAGAAGAAGAACAACTACAGATAGTTGAATATTATATTTACAAAACCAGTGCAAGAATGCACAGAGGCCAAGTTGCTTCTGGTGTAAAATGAGATTTATACACAGCAAAAAATGATAGCTTAGCAAGTAAAATATCTTGAATATAGGCTGTATATTAATATAGGCTGTAAACATATCCTGAATATAGGCTATACAGAGCGATTTTAAGCAAATATAAGATTATTAAGCCTATTTCTAGATTCTTTTTTATTTAAGATTAAAATGATCTTATTCTATAGGTTGTTTAATTCAAGCCTTTATTTCTAGAAAGAAGCAAAACTGAAATTATCTGCAGATACTGTACATTAAAACAATTTTAAGCTTTTAGTAAATATGTCTAGAAATGGTCTTATATTTGTTATATAGTAATCCCACCCTCAGAAATATTAGACTTTTCCTTTAAGATATCTTGATTTTTTTTCAGTACCCTCATGAAAACATTACATAATAATGCAATACATAAACTTGATTAACCAACAAATTTTGGCACCATTTGCTAGCACTTATTGATGAGATGCACTATTTATGAGATCAGTGCCCCCAGTGTGCATCAAATCATAGTTACGATCTTGGCTGGATGTAACACTGATAAGCTGCAGTGGGACGCACAAGCCCAGTCCTCTTTACATTAGATGCAGTGAGTGCAGAGTGGTTGCAGTTGTGCTCAGTGATTCATAAAATAATTTTCAAATGTGTAAATAAGGAAAATAATGAAATGTTACATGCAAATATGATTTTTTTTCCCAAACAATGAGGCAGTGGCAAGAATTTTTAGCCCATAAAAAAGGAGTGACTGAGCAAAAAAGGTTGCAAAATTCTGTTTTATGTCTTCATTATTGAATCTGAGCACCAGATGGAAAGAATTTTTTTTTTGTCATTGAATGAACCAAGAACACCGTGATGTGGTGCATCGTAAGCCTCCATATGGAAGTAGGTTCATAGGTTAATTGTTTGAATGATTACTTGATGAGATTGACAGTTTCTCCTATGAGCATGTGGTGAAAAATGATGAGAAGCGACAAGCTAATGAACCTCAAAGCAAGATGTGTGTGCGTGTACTGCGCCAGCACTTACCAGGGTTGATAATTAATTTGAAGAGTAGTTACAACAGATAAATAGGAATTTATATGTATGAGATTGTTTGTGTGTAAGGAAGAAAAAAAAACTTGATGCTTGGTGGTGAGCGTGTGGGGTAGCACCAGTGTTAGCAGACATGATATTTAAATTGATCAAACATGACAAAATTAGATTATTTTCCTACTATCTGTGAAATCTGTGCAGTAAGTGTATTATGGTCAACTTGAACATGTCCTGAAGGAGACAAATCAAATTATTTACCCCAGCAGTGCTTATATTGATAGGGAAAATGGCCTGCAGTGTATTCAAAATCGTTATGAATGTCGCTCAGTAGAAATCCTCGCACACACGAACACACACTTATATAGTCAGACAGCATCCTGTGCATCATGCTTTCATCTGTGCAACACACTCCTGTTATGTGCATGTTGGTTGGAACTTGGCACGCAGCTGGTGGTTTGACTTCTTTATTATCTTGATTATGCAGAGTAGAAATTGAACTCCTTCATGGAGTGACACAGAAAGAGAAAGAGCAGTGGGATAACTCAGTGTAGCGGCCTCAAACTGAGATTACAGGCACCTTTTTTCCCTTGCGCTCTCAATATAATAAAACAAAAAGAAGTGGTCAGTGTGATGAGCACTGTTTTCACATCATATAATATTGTTTACATTGCTACGTGTTTGTTTCTGTTTTGGTCCTGTCTCTGCCCCCGTCCTGTCATTGGTTCATTGCCCTATTGTGTTCACCTGTTCTGTGTTTAGTCCTTGATTAATTTGTCTATATATATATATATACACTGCCCTCCAAAAGTTTGGAAACGCCTGAACAAAATAGGGTTTTTGGGCAATATCAGCATAAATCCTCTTTAGTTAGTGACCATTTTGCATTGATAATAAGGGACAACACAAACTATGAAAACATTTTATTAAATAAAAAGTTTATGAACATAAACATGAACATAACATAGAAAAATACTC